AGTTAATCTACCTGTTGGTAGAGTCACGAGTAAATCTGTTAGAATTGTACTCAATTGCATGCCGCTGTAGACCCTTAATAAATGAGGTATCGTTGTGGGTAAATACTTGAGGCAAGCTCCTTGAACCAACAAAGTTCCATCTGTTTCATGACTCATAAGGTTGACAATAGATCGTAATAGATCCGTTAATGTTTGTGAAAATTCTTCTTCATCTTGATTTAATCTTTAAAACAAAATTAAAATATTTGTTAAAATCATATATACTTCTCTTTTAAAGAATAAATATATCATACTTATATTTATTATATTGTCATTTAGATAAATAAAAAATGTATAATTTTGTAATTATAATTTGTTACTATATATGTAATAATAAATAAAACATACTCGGTAAATAAAAGACGAGATTCGACAATAAACCTCATGCAGTACTGCAGACTTTTCATTGTCTTAAGCAATAAATCACGTTCTTGACCATCATTGTTGCCGACGTTGTCTATACGCTTACGCAATACCGCAATTAATTTCTTATATGCAAGAGTCGCAGAAAAACTTTCAGAAATGTATAAATCTAATACTGGTTGAAAGTGCTGATACTTTCTATCAGACACGAGCCCAATAATATATAAAAGGCACTCAAAAACCATGTCATCATAGACATCACTGTCCGAATTATTCATTAAGATGTTAAATAAAGCATCTAAAACATCCTGTAAAAAATAATGTTACTCAATATAAATTATTCTCATATAAACATAATTTTATTTATATGTAATCTTCCTCGATATCAGATTTTATTTTACCTGTAGAAATTTCACTATTTCTTCCCCATCAACCTTCATCAAAGCAGCTAAAGATTCTTTTAGGCCAGTATTTTGTGATGTCCAATTAAGTAAGCCTAATAAATCTACATTCTGAGTTAATTTAGTTGAGCAAATGTTGGTTGCTATCAAAAAACTATCTTTGCTGCTTAATGTTAATGGTCCTGAACTTGGTTTCTTCTCAATGTTTAATTCAGCCTAAACCACATAAAGTAAAGAAAAGATACAATATTAAAATGTTATATTTAAAAATATATAAAATTTCTTTTATCTTTTCAATATATATATATACGTACCAATTCTCCGCGTGTTGATGGCAATTTAAAGTAAGATATATCACTTTCCTCATACTTTTTTTGTTCTAATTTATAAACCAGCAATTCGTGTTGTATGTCTTGCAGAGTTGTGCCATTGCGTTGCATTAATCGAACATAACTTAACGCGAATGGTTTTTCAGACTTATCTTTCGCTTCGTTAGAACTGCGATGCTTGAATGTAAACTTCAAATGAGCCTGCTTGAATTCTTCTATAGGTATGGCAATCTTGAATGTTTCACACCATCTAGGCTTATCTTCGTGATAATAAATAACACTATGATACTCGTCAATTGGGGACGCACCGCCACCTAATGTCATGACTCCAGGAATTGCTATGCCATGCTCATTACATACTTTAACCTGTTAAAAATCATGTTATAAGTACTTTTATATTTTTATAAAAAAAAAAAAAAAAGAAAAACAATTTTTATTTTCTATTTAAATACTAACCGTTACTTCCACATTTTTGTCTGTAGATTTTGACCCCTTGCTAAATTCACCATTAATTAAAGTCAGATAGAGATCATTGCGTACGTCACCTGGCAAAATAACTTCTGGAAATCCCATTTTACGCGCAATTGCAACGTTCCCGAGAACTAGATGTGGATTTTCGTCACGTACCTATATATAAATGCTCAAAATTAGAAATAATTTTTTTTATATAAAATATATAACAATACAAAAAGTTATACAATTATATAGAAAAATAACTTTATTTCACGACTCACTTGCTTTGGGTCACCTCTTAACAATTTTAAACTCGTCCACAATCCTTGTCCACCTGTGATATTGGTAATATTGCCGTTGATATGTCTCTGGATATTTCCTTCTTTTTGTGCTATAATTCTACGTAATATACCATCAAGACTATCTTTCTCACAACATCTGAAACAAAAAACAGGGAAACCAACAAAACTCTGTCTTAATTTTTGCAAGAATTACTATAATCTTTCCTTTGATGCTTCAACCATGAATGTCACAGCATTGAACCTTTGAATAGACCAAGATACCATCTTAAATATGTACTTACTGTATAAAAGGTATAAAATGATGTTGTTCAACATCTCCCTCGAGTTTGCCGGTAATAAATAATGTGATATCCATCGCAGCTACACCGAATGGTCTTCTCATATTTTCCGTATTCTTGGATTTGTTCTGATTATTTTGTGCAACGCTCGAACGACGATGATCCGGTTCTTTGGCTTCCATACCGCCCACTCTAATTACATAACAGGCTAAATAAACTTTGTCTCTTGTCAAATCTCTGGAACCAAGATCCGTGAACAACACTCTAAGATTGTGCAACTGATCAATATCCCTTGCAAGTCCCTCTTTGCTCCACGATACCACGTAATTCTCCGTGATAGCTTTCATCTCTCTGCCGTCATATAAAGTTAATAGTAGCTCTACATCCTCTGTCATTTTACATACAAAATTTCTTACACTGACAAAGAAGATATGTGAATATACAGGTACTTGTGGCTTGTGGGACTTTTTTTTGGTGTCATTGGACGCCTTTCTTATCCTTTCTGCAGCAGTCTCATGATGATAGTATAATTGAATCGCGCTCGTTTCTTCGGGATTTAAAATATTTCCATGCTCATCTCGAACTACCATATCCAAACCCAATAATTGATTTCCAGTGTCTATCCTTGCTGTTGCTAATCTTTTCATATCCTTCAGTTCATCTACTGTTAAAGTACCGCTCAAGATCTTGCTTCTGTATCCTATTGCATCCAAAATTTGTTGTTGCATTGTCCTGAAGTGCTCGGAGTGTGTCTATATATGCATAAAAAGAATTATGTAAAATTATATCTATATATTTTTATTTCTAGAAAGACATATTTAAGCTATATAATAAAAATATATACATACTATATATAAATGCTTCCAATGATGTCCCCATTCTCTTAGAACATTAGTAATTTCATGTACTAAGTTATCCGTATATGTTGACTTCTGTAAGATATGTGTATAGGATTTTGGAAAAATTCCACATGTCCCTTTAAACTTGCTGCGGCCATAATACCAATCTCCACACTCCTCAGTTATTTGGAGAACTTCTCCCACTGTTAAACGTATTGTGTGCGGATTTGGATGTGCAAAGTTATGAATGGCTAAATAAAATAATAAAATAGATTTTATTTTGGCATTTTAATGTTTTTCAGAGACATTGCATGCTTTGGAACATCTCAAAATTTTCATTGATAATTTCAAAATTATAATTTTTTTTAAACTTTAAATAAATTCAACAAAATATGATAAATTATCTGTTCAATTTTATGTATGTCTTAATAACTTAAATACATTCTTATCATTTAAAATATATAAATATTCTAAAACTAATATATATATATAGAACATACAAGAATGTGCAATGCAATGATAAATAACATTCTTTTATTATAGATAATTAACACATGTATGTAAAGTTTGTATAACATTGAAATCAATGTATATATGTTATTTTAATATTTATGGTAATAACGCGATTTAATCTACATCAATCTACATAAAATCCTCTATATCAAACATGATTATATTTATATAATAAAGTATTACAATATATATATATATATATATAATATATATATAATATATATATATATATATCGTATATATATATATGATATTATACATAATTATATATTATATTATGTATTATATTACATATATTTATATTATTACAATTACATTTATACATTGATTGACGTAATGTCATAAATATAAAAAAAATGTACGAATAATCACAGGCGTAAAATACATCACAAATTCTATCTTGTACGATTCTTGTGTCAAATTACAGAAAGGCCCACTCGATTGTCAGATACGATGTAACAAAAATTTTATCTGAACTCTCAGGGGCACCTCCCAGGATGTCAGAATATTTCGCAGTACAGAGGGTTATTAATCTGCTTACACACAAACTGATGTATTAGTTCCTCACCTACTCCTAACTGCTCATTAATTCGCTTCCATGTCATTGTCATTTTATCCCGATACTTAGCACTTCCAGGATATTATTACATTAATTACATCTCGCGATTCACATCTCGTTAGAGGGGACAAAATATTGTCGTTTTACCGTGTCATCTATTATTACAACGCTTCGAAACAGGATGTTACACTTCTTTGCTCTATTGCTGCAGTGATGAGAGAATGGACGGGAGAGTCGAGGCTAGAGGGAACAAACATGTCATGAAATGTAGAAAAATTGACGTAAACGTAGAGAGGAAAACGCAAGTGAAAAATGTTCGTCCTCTTAATTTTATTCAAATTATCACATCAATCGATATAAAGAGAAAATAATCAGGAGGAGAGCTCTATCGTTTCTGATTTCATCGAAACTCTATAATTATTATATGTATTTTTACGCATATAAAACATGAATCTGCAAATTATAATCGCTCTCTTCTTTCGTTATATTGTAATTTTGAAATAATACTCTTATTTCAAGTAGAACATCTCAAAATATAAATATTAATATATTACATAAATATTACAACGATAATTCGACAAATAAAGTAATTTACTCACAGAAATGAATAACTCAAGTGATTCGTAAAAGACGTCAAATTACGTGATCAAAAGAAACTTCAGAGTTGCGTTCAGAAATCTGTCAGTCAAAGTGCAAAATATGTTCGACCAATCGGAGAGCGAGGATCTCTTCACTCTGATTGGTCGATCGCGCGCTTCGCCCTAAGCGAACACATTTTCGAACACAATCTAGAATACCGCCATCCGCCATCTTCACTTTCGACTCGTTCGCGATTAAGTTCGCGCGTCTACATCGCTGCTCCGCAAAAATACACGAATGTGAGTTAATTACTTGTATTATATCAAAAATATTAATTAATCGTCTTTACGCACTTCTCCAATTATCGTATAAGTATGTATCGCGATCGTACGCGCGAGATGAGATCGATTTTGTTGGCCGCGAATCTCTCGGAGTTCTCGGTTCCCTCGAAGCCGCGTGACGTCACAGCCAAAAGTTCGCGCGCGCGACTTTACGAGGGCGGATCGCGAGAATCACCGGGTGCTTTCGACGCGAAAATCTCCGCAGTTTTGTGCGTTTCCAGTCGTACTTTCGCGTCGAAGTACCATTACGCGACGAATTAAACTCATAACTTTCGTAAAAATCGTCAAGATCGACTACTAATTAAAATTGCACTGCCATAGTGTTTTCAATATTTTTTTCGCGAATTGTCGAGTCGGAAATATCTGACAAAAGTCGTCGTTCGATGAGACCCTTCGATATAAGTGAAAAAAAAAAGAAGATGGAGCATATCGGTCCTATTCGCGTGCGAATAAGCTCCCGTAATTCGGTGTTTTTTTTATCGCAAAATGTGTGTCGAAAATGTGATATCTAAAATCCGGGCGTCGCGAACGAAAAAAGTGTAGGAGTAGGCCCAGGGTGGCATCGGGTAACGGCGGAGCAACTACATGGTAAATTATTTTTTTATTTATTTTATTTATTATTCTTTATGTTTATAATTAAATATTTACTTATTGGTTTATCTTTTAAAAAATGTTTAAATTAATTACAGGAAAAATGGCGAGTAAAATCCAAATACCCCAAGAAGAAAAATAATTGAAATGTGAGTCGAATTAATTATTTATTTTTCATTATTATTTACCAAAATAGGATATTTGCAAATATTGTCGATAAAAAGATTTGGTATCCTCCTTCGATAAGGTTGTAATCTGTAATATTGGCATGATAATAATTATCGACTAACTTCACTCTGTCCTCTGTATTCATCTTGTGTTCGCGGTTGTGTTTGGTGATTTTTATGTCGGCATATTTTTGAGATTTTGTATTATTATTATCGCCGAAATAGTAGACGAAATTATCTAATCATGGTGCCCAATTGTACGGCCGAACTCAACAGATTGATGAACGAGTTAGAAATAAGCGAATTGGAGGTGAGTTTTTTAGTAAACGCGAAAGCGCACTTATAGGTTATGTCGTTTATTTATATTCAATCTTATGTGCTTGCATTCAGCAAAAAAACGACAACTGTTGTGAAATTCGTGAATCTAATTAGTGCATGCTCTTAGATTCAGCTAAGATCAAGAGCATACACCAATCAGATTCACAAATTTTACAACAGTTGCAAAACTATTTTTTCTGCTGAACTTAGTCAATGTTAAATTACATTTTTCATGGAATTGTTATTTTATAATTGAAGACAAATATTGAAAATAATTTCGATTAATCACTCATTTCAGCCCACTGCTGGAGTTATAACTGCACAATCTTACATGCGACTACTGGCTATCTATCTCTATCAGAATGATCTGTGAGTACATGCAATTTATTTCTTGTGAACGGTATTGTATGTTTTGTTTTTGAGTGCCTTAACAATTTTTCTTATTACTGTGTTTCATTACTTATTTAATAACAAAGTCAGACAGTACTTACAACTTATATACATGAATTAGTACATATGCGCAAATCAATATTCAATCTATATTTTTGATGTGTGAGAATTTTTGATATTATAATATTGAATATACATCTATATTATAATTTAATCAAGTACAAAATAATAATGGAAAAAAAATAATAGTAAAACATATTCCTGAGTTTATATATTATATAGGGTTGATGGGTTGATTAAACAACTCATTATATTGACTTTATATTATATTATTATATGATTATCATTAAGTATTTGAATTTACAAGAATATTCGAATAATTGCTAAAACTTTATAATATGTCTTTATAATATATCTTCTTTTTTTTTGGAATATTTTTAAAAGTTTTTGTATCTCACTTTTTTGAGACGCTCTATTTTATAAAATGAATATTTCTTTGTATCTTATTCTCACATCTACATATGTCTGTCACGAGAGACCATAGGAATATTCTTTCATTTATTATTATATTTTTGGAATTCTTAAGAGACTTATAAAATGTATGTGATGACACTATTTCCTATCCCTTTGCATTGTGCTTTTTTTCTCTTTTGGACTATTGGTCCAGTATTGCAAAGTATCTTGTTTATCCTAACACTAAAATTTATACAAAATGGAGCAATGTTTTGCATCACATAAAATAATTTTGTAAAGCAGCATGCAGCGCTAAATCGGCTATTCACGACCGATTTTATTTTTACACGGTGCATCACGCATGATATGTTCGAGAGCGCGTTGGGCCTTATCGATCAGCCCACAATTCTTTTTTTATTTGAATAAAACGCGACCGATCACAGATCCAACGCGAAATTCCTCTGGAAACGAATTCCCTCGGATGTGAAAGCCGCCCATGAAGAGCTCAAGCGAATATGGACCGTAGGGCAACGCATGTGGCAACGCAATTGGCCTGCGGTGCATGCAGCCCTCAATATAGAATGGAGTGAAGACGTCAAGGACATTATGACAGCTCTAAAAGGTAAGTTAATAATAAAACAATAAGTTTTATAAAATAATTAATAATAATTAAATCATTAAAAAGAATAGTAATAATAAATAATTATATAATTAAAAAGATTAATATATGTGAAAAATATCGAAATTTTCCTCACATTTTTTAATAAAATAGTAATTAATATTAGACAATAAGAATAATCGGTGTAAAATAGGTCAAATAAATTATTTCTTTGTTGTATACCATTGTCAAGAATTTTTAAAACATAATGTCATGAAAGAAAATTGAAAAAAAATATAGTGAAACGCGATTGCTCATCCACACAGATCATTCATGATACAATAATAATAATAATAATAATAATAATGGAAAATTATTAAAAAATAGCAATAATTGGAATCTACTATCACATTTAAATAATCTAAATTCTAAATCTCTCATTGCAGTTATTATTTAGTAAGTATACATTTTAGAAAATATTTGATATTTTGATAAATATGATACCGTCATCTCTTTATGTTTTATGTTAAGTACGATGAGTTGTTTTTTCTTTATTTAGCGCCCTACATCTGTAGAGGCAAAGACTAAATATGTACCTTATTATAATTAACGACAATCAATTGTTATTAAACTCACCGTCTATACATAATTATCACTTACAACGCCAATCGATAATCGATTATTCGAGCAGAATCTACAGAGTCGTTGAAGTTCCTTACTCAAACTTCTTGCTCTTTGTTAGGCAAGAGAATTTCTTCGCTAATGGAATCTCCGATTCACTTTCCCGATTTTTACAGACAACGTTCGAGAACGAGTGATGAGGCTGATATCGAAAGCGTACTCCTCGTTGAACTTGGCGACCATGGCGACGATGAGCGGAATGTCGTTGGACGAAGCCCGACAAGCAGCCATTGACAGAGGCTGGAGCGTCGACGGTACCATAGTGCAACCGTACACACAGATCCACGAGGAAATATTTCAATCGGACAAGATCTGTTTGACGGAGGAGCAGCTGGAGAAGCTCACACAATTTGTCTCCTTCTTGGAAAATTGAGGGATCTTCGTCGATTCATCTCCCTAATCCCAACTTGTGTGGATTCAAAACATCGATCTCGATGACGGACTCGAACCTCCTTTCGCAATCTCGCTTCGTAATTCTATTATATAAAGGAGGAAGTACGCGCCGAAGGTAACATCATCGATGTTCGTGCTCGTAAAAAAAGGATACCTTACGATAGACGGAGAGGGAGAGGGAGTACTGACAGAGATAGAGACAGAAAGCAACTACCCACGCGATTTGTTCGTTCAATCGGAAGGATAATTCAATGAAGCTCCTCGCAAGCGTGGAATCAACAACTATATTAATCGATAATCAGCTGTGCGTGCGCGAGAGGGCGGACTGGCATTTGCAGAACGGTATCCACCGGCAGGAGCTTCTTTTTCTCTCCTCGTCTCCTCCCTGCCACCATATTCTAACTCGCCTACTCGATGTGGATCCTCTGAAAATACACACTGTTCGCAACCACTTCGCATCGCTGTAATTATCAAAGTGGATCGCCGCAGTAAGAATCGGGCAGGTAGCCGTTAACGTTCCTCACGACGACAACGATGACAACGTGTCTCTCTCTTTGGCGATGAACACGTGTGCGACGCGCGAATTATCTCACGCGTGATTCTTCGTGGTATCCAGAAGAAGAAGAAGCGGAAGGAGAAAAAAAAGACTGGAACTGTTTCAAACTGGCGTGCTTCATTAGATTTTGATAAAGTGTGTTATAACAGCAAGTGAGTGTTTTTTATATTTTGTCTTATTCACTTGAATTTTTCCCGTTTACCATTATCCTCGCAATATTCCTCCTGATGTAAATATATGCGTTTCTAGTTTCTATAATAGTCGTTTACAACGAAAATACATTAGAAATATTACGTTCTCGTAATTAAATCTTTTTTTCTGCAATTCTTTTTAAAAATTAAAAAAGAATAAATGGATTATTTATTTATTTTTGATGGTTATTTAAAAATAAAAGCGATTTGACAGTTTCTTTACGAATTGTAACTATGTTAAAAAATAATATAATATTTAATTAATATTATGGATTTTTGTAGATATCAATTTTATTTATTTTTTTTGCTCTATTTCAATTTAAGCTTAATCGATTTTTCATTTTTTACACAAAGAATTTCTCTTAGAATTTACCCTGAAAATTATTGTAATTGTGGGACAATATAATATTGGAATAATTTTATAAAAGTTTTTCTGATTAATATACCACAATAAAAATTATCTACCACAATAAGATATAAAATATGTACATATTAATATTTTTTATTATGCTAAATATTAATCAGAGAAACTTTTATCATATCTCGCGATTATCATGATTTTCAGAGTAAATTTTATGAGAAAATTCTCTCCGTGTACATTTAAAGCTGAAAGAAAAAAAGGATTAACAAGATCAAACTTAATTAACATTCCGAAATGAATTCGGTCGTCAAACTACTTGACGCGAAACAATTTCGAAAATCGCGGTAAATTGTATTTGCGTGGAAAAACAATCGATATTTCGATTCACGCGAGACGATCGATATTTCGAGTCGCGCGATATATCTCGAATGACGCAGCGCCCGACGCGACGTCTTCGCAATTGGCGCGCAAAAGTCGCGCGCGCCAAAAGTTTCGCGCTCGCGGAAATAATTCACAACGGGCGAGTTACGACACGCAAATCGAATCCTCGTTCCTCGGAAAAGGCAGCGCGGGTGCTACGAGGCGGCCAGGGGGTACGAACGAGGTAAGTGCATATAACAGTACGTTTCGGAGCGACGCAATAATTCTCTACGAAATCGATTTCTACGGGCCGGGCATGATCGGCATTGTTGTGCCGCCATTACGCAATTCCGCAATGGGTATTCTCGACGAAACCTGGGGCAGGTAGCTCGCGGTCTTTCGTCGGCACCGAGGCGATACTCTTGCTTCTTTTTTCAGAGGGGGAGGGCCTGCACCATTACTCTAGAAAGTTGTTGCACCAGTATCGCTAGTTCTACACGCGCGCGAAAACACGCGATCGTACGCGCGCGCGTCGCTAATCCGCATCTCGTCTACATTTCTACACATGAGGTGCTGAAAAGCTACATTGCGTCGAGATGAGCGTATCCTTGTAGCGAAACCTATATTACGAATTTATATATGTATATGTACATGTGCATATGCAAAGTTGAAAGCTAAGAATGATTAATAAAATATTAATAGCGGATTCCTGTTTAAAGCAGATACACGTGCATATATATATAGTATTTTATATTTCATTTAAAGCTGTCCTTCAGAGTCATTTTTAGTGAAATTTTTGGGACATAAATTCGATTGCGAACCTCAGACAACTTTTCTGCATTTTTATTAAGAAGCAATAAATTAACAACTTGTTAGTTTAAATTGAGAATTCGTTTTGACTATGCAAACTTTCAGACTATGTCAAGGATATAAAATGAATAAAGAAAGCATTTACTTCACAAATGCATAAATTGAAAAAAGCTCTTTTATTTATAAGCAATTGACAGCAATTTTTTCATTTTAAGCGCAAATAGATGACAAATTCTTATATTAAATTATATTTTGCGAAATATAAATTTTCACATAATTATAAAAATATTTAATTATTAAATGTTTATATTGGAAGAATTTTGTAAGTTTCTCTGATTAATTTTTACCACAATAAAAATATTAATATCTATCACAATAAAATATAAAATAGGTTCGATTAATTTTACTATATACATATTAATATTTTTTAATGTGGTAAATATTAATCGGAGAAACGCTTATAAAATTCTTTCAATATATTGCTCTACGATTACCATGATTTTCAGAGTAAATTCTAAGAAAAAATTCTCTCCGTGTATAAATTAAATATTTAGTAAAAGTATTGGAAAATATTACATAATAGAATTAATAGACAATAGGTAAATGAAATCTCTTTAATAAAGAGAAGTTAACTAAAATGAAGTTGATTTATGTAGCTTTTCAACAGCCTCTGTACAGCACGCCTCCGTCAGATTCTCACACCTGTATGATCTCGGCTTCGAGCAAGCGTTCGAGAAACGTGAGAATCGCCACGGAAATCTACCGCGTTCGTTTTTGCTCGCGAACGATTGTTTCGATCTCCGCGGTTCGTGGCGCGATGCATTATTCGATCCGACCGCGCGTGGATCGCGGATATTTCGTGAGGAATATGCATGCTAACGAGAGAAGTTGAAACGCTCTCGTCGTCGCTCGTTGGATCGCTTCTATTATGCGGGATAGAATGCATATCATATACTTCTGTACCCTCCAGAGTCACGGAGGTGAAAGCCTTTGTAGTACTGCCTCTTTTCTGTGGAACAGATTGAAATATGTATGTTTTTACGGAATATTTTTTTTATCAGATTTCTCGAGCCAAGTCCGGAGCAAGCGAACGAACACGAACGAATATCAGGGAATATTAGTGAAGAAGCCTTATTTAATTATTTAATTATTTTTTTATAAAATATTTTTTATATAAAAATATTTTTTTATATTAAAAATATTTTACTAACAATAAAATAATAAAAAAAATGATTAACAGCCTTCTTTGCATTTTTCTCTTGATGTATTCATTTGTGACCGTTCGTGCTTCCTCGCTTGGATAAAAAGAAATCTTGTTCATAAAATATAGTAAGTGAAATATATGACTTGTTAGAAATATATAATCTTTTTGCAACAGAACAATATTGAATACAGCAAATATATAAGCAGGTATATATTCGGTGTAACATTTTAATACGCATGAATAATTATGACATTAATGCTTGATTGTGCAAATATGATATTAATATTTAATTGTGCATAATTAAAAAGAATAATTATTGGATATTCATAAATAGTATGTAAGAATGTTGAATGTAAACATTATCTTTTTCATTTTTTGAAAGATGTTACAGTTATTATATTGGTCGACAATTATTGATTTTATCAGGATATTATAATTCCGTAAAGAGACATTGAATCACTTATACATTATACATTTAATTTTATTACTATCGAACAATCTATATTAATGACGAGTTTTCTTTTACAATTTTACATTAAATTTTATCACGAGATCATAAAGAATTAAAATTCAATACATGAATCCGGATGAATTTTTCACATATTTTCTCCTGGTCTCTCGTAGATTTTATTATAGGCAATAATCCAATATTTCAATAGGAATATCAAAAATTCTCACATAAATGATTTTCTATAATTCACCTCGATATTGCACGTAAGATTCCTTAATCCAAGACTCTTCTTCGCGTCAAGCGTATTCAGGAAGTCATTAAAACAGGAGTTGGGCGTTGTATATCCCGATCGAATCATCCCATAACGTAGGCTAATTTTCGCCCGCTAATTCGTGTGAGAATAATGCTCGTAGAAAAGCGTCCAACCCATCGAACATGCGGAAAAGGAAGGCGGTGTTCCCACGCGCTCTCGTATAATATATACATATGTAGGTACGACGAAGCCTATCCTAGACGCGCCGCTCCGTATCGGGAATATATCGACGGCAATAATAATCGGTAACGAAAAAGCCGTTCTCGTGAGATCAGCAGGGGGTTGCAGAGCGCCCAGACAAGGCCTCCGATGACGGGACCCGACCCCCGTTGTACTCGTACTTGTATACGCGCGCGGAACAACACGAGACTCCTCTCGCGCGCGTGCGAGCGCCTTTTCAACGCCGTTCGTTGAATAATGCAGATTCATCCGGAGAGATGATTGCATCGCGATATCGCGCCGGCCGATACTCTTTTTTTTTATTATTATTATTATTCTATGCCGAGGCGGGCGACGAGGAGAAAGAACGATCACGAACCACGCGAACTCTTCTTGCCTCGTGTTCGCGCCTCGCTCGCGGATTGTCGAACGTTTCGCGGCTCTCTATCGGTCTTCGTTAACCTTTCGGTGAAACTACGCTCGTGCGGGGAATTTGTTTTGACCGCGCCGACTGATTGAGTTGGATCCTCGATATAGCGAAATAACAGAACAGACGGATGTTCCTTATAAAAGTTATATACGTCATGATTCCAAGTTTATATGTTAATTTCGTCACGCATATTTATAAATCCGAGCAGGCTAAGGCTATTTAAAACATTATTTCTCAATGTCAGATTATAATTAATACAAGTAAAGATATAACTGACATAGAATTATAAGTATGACAGAGCCGAGAGAGGTATTGCACACAGAGTGTTAAAGATAAATTAAATCCGTTAAGCACATATGATGAGGAAACGTAAATAAAAATGTGATCAAAATCCTTTTTTTTTTTTTTTAATTAGAAGAGACCACACATTATGCAGAGAAATATAGAAAGAATTAGAAGTAATTACTTTGATATTTTGTGAAAGAGATGTATGTATATGGAATTAACGTAATATATAGCTTTTATACTGAATTTTCTTCGACGTGGAGAATGAAATTGCAACCTCGGTGATTTACGAGGATGTAATTTATTTGCCCTACGGCGATGTAATCGAAGTAACTATCAAGCAGTGAAAGAACACACTGATTCAGAATCTTTGCCATGAGTCGCCGCGAATACAGACATTAGCGGGTGGATCTTCTTGCATCCGTTCGATCGTCCATCATCGATAATTTCGTGGCATGTAATAGGGTAAACAACCCTATTTCAATAATTGTACATTCACGTCAATCAGAATATTTAAATTTGACAGCGGATTTGATGTGTCTTAAAACAAATTTATACAAAGGCCATAAGTTAGTCAAAAGTAAAAAG